ATATATATATATATATATATATATATATATATATATATATATATATCCATTTTTTGAAATCCCAGCGTTTGGGAAATTACTTACTTCACCAAATTCATTTCTTGCTTAAGTTTGGCACAAACTATTAGTTTTTTGCTTGTCACAACTTTGGCCTAAAATACACCTACCGGTGGTAGGCCAACAAGCCGATGGGCCAACAAACCAAAAACAAGATTACTATTTTAAGAAGCCGCAAATTTAATATTTTTGTGCAACATAACAACAGATTTTGATTGTTGTTATGCAATTGTTAAGTAATTATGATTTAAATACGTATTACTGATTTATTTATTTTTGGCCTCAGTATATGGTGGTCTGGAGATATGGCGGTTGTTTGATTATCCGCCACACTTACCGATTGCAAAAAACACCAAGTACTAAATGCAATTAAATGTAGATTATTTCACTGCACAGAAACGCTTGTAGCTTGCTCTAGATGAATTTCTACAAGAAACCATAAATTTACCTAGATTGACTTAGCTGACAGTTTTTAAACCCCTATTTCTACCAATAACTAATCACAGACAAGATATTGTTTAGTATTTTGAGTTTTTAATGAAGTGTTAATAGAAAAATCACCTCGAGTATAAAGATTTTTGTTATTTTTCGGACTTTCGGACTACAACCAAATTGTGTATAACTTACTCTAACATTATAGTGCAATTTTTTAATCTTATTGTTACGGATTTCGTAACGAAATTAACGGATTGTTTCTGCTGGGGGTTTTTTATTTTCTTCAGACAATATTCGACTTTTTAACTAGCCATTCATGAATGAATTTTTAAATATTTTTCAAAAAGTATTCTTGTCCTGAGCTTAAATATGAATAGATACTTCACTTCTAATCATTTTTTGTAAAGTTATGGGGGTTTAAAGATTGCCATGCTGGCCAATTTGGGAGAAGTAACGCGCGATATGTTTCGCGCTATTAACTTGTAAGCGGAGATTTAAGCCGTTTTAGAAATCGTTCCAAATTGTTTGAAAGAAGCTTATTTGCCATAATATATTTGCCACTAGGAGCGAAATTGATCATTTTGTACTTTATATGGTGTGTGGGTTGATGATTTTCACAAAAAATCTCAAATTTTAAAAGAACAATCTTTTCTTTTTATTTTTTTTTAATTCAATTTTTTTCATTTTATTACTGCTTCATAGACCTTAAAAAGTAGTCGGAACATTCAGGGCTTTGCCCTGATACTAGCTGTCTTGTTTTCTCATATTTTCAAAAATTTCTTCTGTTCTAAAGTTTCTGGTCAAATGTTTTGGTCAAATTAAGTTTCAACAAAAGCAACCTAGTTGTAAACTTGAAATTGATTTCAAAAGATTTTCGCTTCAGCTAACGGATATAAAAAAAAACTTTGTTGTAAATTATGCGGAAATTGGACTGCGTTGTCTGATTTTTATAACGTATGGCAGGGCGCATATATTATCATAAAACAGACATTTGCATCACTTTTTTGTACAGCTACAGCTACTTACTACGGATACAGAACACTTTTTTCCACAAAGTTCTAGTATAATCCGAGTTTTAGTCGTTCTTTTATTCTCAATAAAAAGTTAAAAAGTAAAAATTGAGTTTTCCCTAAAAACTATATCGTGTCTAATTCATGTTCTCGATTAGGTTTTTTTGTTGAAAACATTCCGCTTCCTTATAATTATAATTATCACATTTTTCATGACTCTTAAATGTCTGCTGCCAAGGTTCTCATTGGGTTTCAATGAAAGTTGTGATTCGTAGAATAAGTATTTGAAAACTGCCAGCTTCTCTTTCTGAGGATATAGTTGCTACACAGAAACCCTCTGGGGTCTTTTCTATTGTAATGCCCAAAATAGATCTTTTGGTTATTTTGAAAAGTGAATCGTAATGCTAAAAAATCTGTTTAGTTGAAACCAGTGGCGTGCGTAAAAAATTTCCCCGGGGGGGGGGGAGGCTGGGTTGCGAAAAATTTTCTTAAAAAGACGCTTAATTGAAAATTTGGCAGTTTTGGGCCTTATAACAGAAAGATCCACCCTCTGCGGTTATGTAAGAACGCTCGGTTCACAAAAAGAAGTTGAACTAGAAAGCTATAAAATCATAAAAAATTTCAAAACAGCCATATCATTACATATAGTATTCGCCAAATGTCTATGTACTCTTTCACAGAACAACATAACATGGCCACACATCAAGTTCATAAATCAGCCCATTTAATAATGTTGTTTCATGGTAGAGCTGAATAACACTATTTATCTACAAGGAAATGGACAACATACAAGCTGTTCAGCGCAACACGAAAAACCTAAAATGCGCCCCTGGTTAAGAATTGCATGCAAATTTTTTGGTTCAATTTTTCTGGACTGGATCATCTTACCTCTCTCTGAAACATCCAGAAGGGATCTTTGTGGGCGACGAACTTCTAATCATTCGCTTGAGAGGCGGAAACTTAGCCACTTTACCAGCGCTCCTCATTGTGACTTATGTTTGTTCAATACGTTTTAGCCCGACTGGTTCTGGGGTCACTTGAGTGTGGACGAGGCAGAACTGCTGCTGATCAATAGAGACAATGGTCTGTTTCTGGTACGGGAAAGTGCGAGTAATCCGCACACTGCTTTCAGTCTCTCCTTTAGATGTCAAATGCAGACACACCATACACGCATAGAGATCAAACAGGGTAAGAGCAGCACAAGAGAGCATGAGATATGAAGAAGAAGAAACCGAAGATGGAAGTCGGAAGAGGGGATCTGAAAATAGCAGAGAAGCAGTTCCTTGGGGAAGGGCTTCTCTGCCTCTTTGAGATCCCCTTTTTTCAGACTCCCCTATTTAGATTTCTCTGTTCAGACTCCTCCGATCCCTGTTTCAGACGCCAACCCCCCTCCTGTTATTAGAATTACTACTCAGACACCCCCTCTCTCATACATCGAAGAGTTTAAGCTCATAATAAAAAACTCTTTCCCCTAGTATGCGACAATGTTTGCTTTCGTTCAAATGCTCCATTGATACCAAATCTAATTTTAAATTTGTGCGCAGATGACGAAAATTTATCACTGTTCTTTAAGTGTAGGGTTAAATAGTTCAAATTTTCAAGAGGTCAGAAAAAGCTGAAGAGTTGAGACACATGCATAATCTAATTTGTCTGTGACATAAATTAAATCAATTGCCCCTGTAGATAGTTGAAAAACTTTAATCTTCTATATGGTTGCAAAATTTAAGAAAAAGTCTAAAGGAAATCCCACTTTGTTAATGGATTGGGCACTTAATTGAAATCCATCAAATGGGAAATATGAAGAAGTATAACGTCATTTAAATAGGCAAGGAGTGCGAAGGTCTTATGGGATAATACGTGGATGCGGGTAGCTATATGAATAGCAATTAGCTACTCTAATTGACTTAGAGACTGATTAGCCCAAAGCCATTTTACCCAACTCAGACCCCAAATCAGGCCTGAAAAGAATGGAAATTCGAAAGGAGGCAAGTACGACGTGGGTTTGCTTTTTCCACCCCCAAATACAAAACATCTATTTTCAATTCTCAGAAGAGTTTTATAGAAAAAGGAACCAACAAGCCCCTAAGGTGAAAAAGCGCACGGAAATTAGAATCAGACTATGAAAGGAAAAAGTAGTTGTGAGAGTCTTTTTACTTAAAATTAGCATGCGCAAAACACCGGTAAAATGCCAGCAAAAATGGCATTAAAATGGTAAGTTAATGTATATATGCTTTGAACGCTATTTTCTTATCAAAATCTGATTAGCTTTTTTTCAGAAGATTTCTCTATTTTCATCTCCTGAACAAAAGATTTGTTCCTCTTTTCCTGATTCTGTTCAGATTTTGTTCTTTGTCTATGACTCATTTTTTTTCAGCCCAAAATTTCCTGCGGGAAAAGATATGAAAAGAGGGTTTGTTGATATAATTTTTGCAATCTTAGATGCAACATGGTTAATGGTTAGATTTTGACGTGGAATTCGAAATTGCCTACCCTTTGTAGGGTTAATTTGGGTCTATATCCCTGCGGGTTTGAAAGTGATTCATGTTTCAAGATACCACGAGAGCGTGATAAGATACTCTTACCGTCTTTGAAAGTCCCAAAGGACTTTTTTAAGCTGAAATTTTAAGGGCATGAAGAATTTAGTACCATAAAGATGACTCATTACTTCAATGGTCCCTGATTTTGGGATAATAATTGAGATATTAAGTTAAACTGTTGGTGTAAGGCAATTTCATTTCAGGTTGTTTCCTTTGAAGAGAAATTTGCCAACTTTATATTCGTTTTCTGCCATTTTCAAATTAATTTTATAAGACTTTAGCCAAAAACTGAAATTTTTTATACATGCAGATTGTTGGTTCCATTTAGACTGAGAAAAAATCTAAGAAAACAGATAATTTAAAACTGCGAAAACAGATTTTTGCTTAAACTGATGGAAAATTTTCTAACATGCAATATATTCAAAGTTTTTAACTAGCAACCCAAAGTTAGAGCTAATTCAAGGACTAAATGGTCCTCAAACTGATTTTTGTTTTCCTAAACTAATTTAGCCGATTGAAATGTCAAGCTAGGTTGATTTTAATCTAAACACTTTTCCCAAATGTCACTTTGAGGAATGGCCTGTAAGGCAAAGTATTGTTTCTTTTAGCCCCCTGAAGTTCGTTTAAGAAGATTGATTTGCGATCAGTTTTGAGCGACGTTTATGACGATTTTGATCAAAAGTCACTTAATGTGGCAAATATGGTGAATTCGACTAAAGTGACAGCTTTTGCGAATTAATTATTTGTACTAAATTTAGCATATCACTGGTTTTATTAATCACCAACACAGGTTTCATTTCGTTAAGTTTTGAAAATGCTTTTGCAACCTATACCGTGTAGTATGTAGAAAAAAAAACAAACCAGAAGTTACAGCTGCTGCTCAAATAGCACAGAAAGTTCCTACCACAATTCTCTCTGAGGCAGCAAATCTTGATTTTTTTCAATTTGTGGTTTTCCAGATTAGAGATTTCTTTTATGCGCCGTTTTAAGCGAATAAACTTGAAGTTTTTGAAATTTCTGTACAAAGTTATCTGTACAAAATTAATAACAAAAGGAAAAACTCATTTTTCTTTCGATTTTCAGAGAATATTCATTTTTAAGGCTTGGGAAGCGTTAAACTAAGCTTCAAAAACTAGAACTAGTTTGCCATAGCTTAAATCTAAATATAAACATCTAAGGATCTAAGTAATATGCCATAGCTGAAATCTAAATATGAAAATCTAAATACAAAATCGAAATATCTAAACCTACAAGTTCCTTAAAGGTCCTTTCTTTGTACTATTTTGAGATATCCATATTTGATGACGGACCCTAAAAATTTTCTGAGGGCGCCTTCGGCGCCAACATATTCTAATTTTGAGGAAGAGCGCGCGCCAAAAATTTTTTGGTCAAAATTTTACAAAAAGTGCCTAAAAACGCCTCTTTTTTGGCCTGATTTCAAAATTTTGTTTGCGACGCAGCAATTTTTTCCAAAAACAGGGTCTTTTTAGTGCTTTGGGAGTGCTCGGAAAATCAGTTTGGTCGACCTAAAAAAAAGGATCGACAAAGTTTTTGGAATTTTTTTGAAAATTCCCCCCCCCCCCTCGAGAAAATCCTAGATCCACCCCTGCTTCAACTCATCTCCCCCGAAACCTTTTTCCTCCTTTCAGCCAATCAAATTCATTTCCTCCCTCGCTTAACCATCCCTAAACTTTGAAATTTTACAGCATCTCCACTTGAGGGAGGTCGTTAACGTGGGGGGAGGGGGAGGATGGGTAAACTGAAGGTGGGACAAAAGTGGTCGGGCGTTATGTTCGGGGTTCGGGGTAACAGGGCCAAAAGGGCCAAATATAGGAGGGGGAACAATGATGAAAGGAGGGACGAGGGATCAATGGATAAGGGAAGGTGTAAAACGAAGGCCAACAAAACTTGAAAAACCCACAAAGTGTGAAAGTAAACATTGTGAGGGGAAAAATTGTGAGGGGAAAAATTTCTCAGTAAGTGTCCCTTTTCCACTATTCTACTAAAACTTTTGTTAAGCGACAAGCTATAGTGAAATTGTGGAAACACTGCAGTGTGTTTCAAAATTTTTGACAAGTTTTTATACAAAGTTTGAATTCAATTAATTTTGATGTTTGCGGAGACTGACCATGAGAACGCAATTGATTATTATCCTAGAAACTCCAGGGCGGTCATGCTTTTCGTCCGATTTCTTAGCAGACTGAATTTTTAGCAGACTCATACAGGGGCGGACTTAGATAAGAGTACAAAGGCCCACCCTACCCCCCCTCCAGGGATTCGGCCCCATGCCGACCCAAATGGTCCCCCTTTGTACTACTTTGAGATATTTATTTTGGCAAGAAGCTATCTTCTTCTTAATTGATCGTAAAACTTTCAGAAAAGTAAGTGCATGTGATGAAAAAATTGAGTTATGTCAATAGTTTGATGCAGAAACTTTTCATTTCCTAAAGTAGCAGGAGAGAACTCAGTACCGTTTTTGAAAATTTGCCAAAACAACAGCAAAACTTTGAGTCGTACAAAATTGATACGACCACCAATTAGCTAGTTTCAATTCAATTTGGAACAATTTTTTGTTGTGCGGGATAATTCGCCTCGCATAAACATTTCGCGTTACGCTCTCAGCATTATGAACAGACTCTTCAAAGCGCGAATAATTTAGTCCAAAACATGAACATGGCCAATTCAGTAATTTTCAAACCCCCAGAACTTTACAACAAATGATCGGAGCTGAAATATCTTTTTTTTATTTGAACTCAGGAAGTTGATATCTTCAATGGGGTATAAAAAAATTTTGTTGAAAACTATTATTTTGATCGGCGAAAATTGACTGAATAAAAAAACCAGGCCGAGCATAAAAATTCCGTTTTCTTCGAAAGTCTAAACAATAAGCCCTCCGATAAGTAAGTTTTGTCAAAAATCAACAGACCATCTAAACCAGCCGAGAATAAGATCAGAGATTATATACGCCAGCTGAAGCTTACCCTACATGAAAAGATATTTGCATGGTTTCGTAGTTTTTCATATCATACAAGTGTTCATTCGGACGAAAACTCATTCAGCCTAAGTTTTCAAAAAAAAAAATTAAAAAGATTTAATATTACTGAAAAATTTTTGTATTTTGCGAAAAGCACGCAATTCAAATTCATAATTTTTAGATCCAAACTTTACAGCAGCGATTTATTCAGCTGCAACTTTTACATTGGGATGCTAATCGACTCAAATGCTGGGTTTTTTCTAAAAAGATCTATATAAAGCGATGTTTAAATTTAAAACTAGTGACCTAGTCCAATCCTTAGAGTAACGTTTTCGAAACCAGAGGCATTTTAGTCTCAAGTAGATTTTTGGAGCACCTGGTCTCATAATCGTATTATTTGCACAATTTTTCTACATACCTAAAATCTAACAACGCTTAACATAATTGTTAGGACGAAGAAATATGCTATCACTTTTTTTTTGGTTTTTGACCGACCAATATATATATATATATATATATATATATATATATATATATCCATTTTTTGAAATCCCAGCGTTTGGGAAATTACTTACTTCACCAAATTCATTTCTTGCTTAAGTTTGGCACAAACTATTAGTTTTTTGCTTGTCACAACTTTGGCCTAAAATACACCTACCGGTGGTAGGCCAACAAGCCGATGGGCCAACAAACCAAAAACAAGATTACTATTTTAAGAAGCCGCAAATTTAATATTTTTGTGCAACATAACAACAGATTTTGATTGTTGTTATGCAATTGTTAAGTAATTATGATTTAAATACGTATTACTGATTTATTTATTTTTGGCCTCAGTATATGGTGGTCTGGAGATATGGCGGTTGTTTGATTATCCGCCACACTTACCGATTGCAAAAAACACCAAGTACTAAATGCAATTAAATGTAGATTATTTCACTGCACAGAAACGCTTGTAGCTTGCTCTAGATGAATTTCTACAAGAAACCATAAATTTACCTAGATTGACTTAGCTGACAGTTTTTAAACCCCTATTTCTACCAATAACTAATCACAGACAAGATATTGTTTAGTATTTTGAGTTTTTAATGAAGTGTTAATAGAAAAATCACCTCGAGTATAAAGATTTTTGTTATTTTTCGGACTTTCGGACTACAACCAAATTGTGTATAACTTACTCTAACATTATAGTGCAATTTTTTAATCTTATTGTTACGGATTTCGTAACGAAATTAACGGATTGTTTCTGCTGGGGGTTTTTTATTTTCTTCAGACAATATTCGACTTTTTAACTAGCCATTCATGAATGAATTTTTAAATATTTTTCAAAAAGTATTCTTGTCCTGAGCTTAAATATGAATAGATACTTCACTTCTAATCATTTTTTGTAAAGTTATGGGGGTTTAAAGATTGCCATGCTGGCCAATTTGGGAGAAGTAACGCGCGATATGTTTCGCGCTATTAACTTGTAAGCGGAGATTTAAGCCGTTTTAGAAATCGTTCCAAATTGTTTGAAAGAAGCTTATTTGCCATAATATATTTGCCACTAGGAGCGAAATTGATCATTTTGTACTTTATATGGTGTGTGGGTTGATGATTTTCACAAAAAATCTCAAATTTTAAAAGAACAATCTTTTCTTTTTATTTTTTTTTAATTCAATTTTTTTCATTTTATTACTGCTTCATAGACCTTAAAAAGTAGTCGGAACATTCAGGGCTTTGCCCTGATACTAGCTGTCTTGTTTTCTCATATTTTCAAAAATTTCTTCTGTTCTAAAGTTTCTGGTCAAATGTTTTGGTCAAATTAAGTTTCAACAAAAGCAACCTAGTTGTAAACTTGAAATTGATTTCAAAAGATTTTCGCTTCAGCTAACGGATATAAAAAAAAACTTTGTTGTAAATTATGCGGAAATTGGACTGCGTTGTCTGATTTTTATAACGTATGGCAGGGCGCATATATTATCATAAAACAGACATTTGCATCACTTTTTTGTACAGCTACAGCTACTTACTACGGATACAGAACACTTTTTTCCACAAAGTTCTAGTATAATCCGAGTTTTAGTCGTTCTTTTATTCTCAATAAAAAGTTAAAAAGTAAAAATTGAGTTTTCCCTAAAAACTATATCGTGTCTAATTCATGTTCTCGATTAGGTTTTTTTGTTGAAAACATTCCGCTTCCTTATAATTATAATTATCACATTTTTCATGACTCTTAAATGTCTGCTGCCAATGTTCTCATTGGGTTTCAATGAAAGTTGTGATTCGTAGAATAAGTATTTGAAAACTGCCAGCTTCTCTTTCTGAGGATATAGTTGCTACACAGAAACCCTCTGGGGTCTTTTCTATTGTAATGCCCAAAATAGATCTTTTGGTTATTTTGAAAAGTGAATCGTAATGCTAAAAAATCTGGTTAGTTGAAACCAGTGGCGTGCGTAAAAAATTTCCCCGGGGGGGGGAGGCTGGGTTGCGAAAAATTTTCTTAAAAAGACGCTTAATTGAAAATTTGGCAGTTTTGGGCCTTATAACAGAAAGATCCACCCTCTGCGGTTATGTAAGAACGCTCGGTTCACAAAAAGAAGTTGAACTAGAAAGCTATAAAATCATAAACAATTTCAAAACAGCCATATCATTACATATAGTATTCGCCAAATGTCTATGTACTCTTTCACAGAACAACATAACATGGCCACACATCAAGTTCATAAATCAGCCCATTTAATAATGTTGTTTCATGGTAGAGCTGAATAACACTATTTATCTACAAGGAAATGGACAACATACAAGCTGTTCAGCGCAACACGAAAAACCTAAAATGCGCCCCTGGTTAAGAATTGCATGCAAATTTTTTGGTTCAATTTTTCTGGACTGGATCATCTTACCTCTCTCTGAAACATCCAGAAGGGATCTTTGTGGGCGACGAACTTCTAATCATTCGCTTGAGAGGCGGAAACTTAGCCACTTTACCAGCGCTCCTCATTGTGACTTATGTTTGTTCAATACGTTTTAGCCCGACTGGTTCTGGGGTCACTTGAGTGTGGACGAGGCAGAACTGCTGCTGATCAATATAGACAATGGTCTGTTTCTGGTACGGGAAAGTGCGAGTAATCCGCACACTGCTTTCAGTCTCTCCTTTAGATGTCAAATGCAGACACACCATACACGCATAGAGATCAAACAGGGTAAGAGCAGCACAAGAGAGCATGAGATATGAAGAAGAAGAAACCGAAGATGGAAGTCGGAAGAGGGGATCTGAAAATAGCAGAGAAGCAGTTCCTTGGGGAAGGGCTTCTCTGCCTCTTTGAGATCCCCTTTTTTCAGACTCCCCTATTTAGATTTCTCTGTTCAGACTCCTCCGATCCCTGTTTCAGACGCCAACCCCCCTCCTGTTATTAGAATTACTACTCAGACACCCCCTCTCTCATACATCGAAGAGTTTAAGCTCATAATAAAAAACTCTTTCCCCTAGTATGCGACAATGTTTGCTTTCGTTCAAATGCTCCATTGATACCAAATCTAATTTTAAATTTGTGCGCAGATGACGAAAATTTATCACTGTTCTTTAAGTGTAGGGTTAAATAGTTCAAATTTTCAAGAGGTCAGAAAAAGCTGAAGAGTTGAGACACATGCATAATCTAATTTGTCTGTGACATAAATTAAATCAATTGCCCCTGTAGATAGTTGAAAAACTTTAATCTTCTATACGGTTGCAAAATTTAAGAAAAAGTCTAAAGGAAATCCCACTTTGTTAATGGATTGGGCACTTAATTGAAATCCATCAAATGGGAAATATGAAGAAGTATAACGTCATTTAAATAGGCAAGGAGTGCGAAGGTCTTATGGGATAATACGTGGATGCGGGTAGCTATATGAATAGCAATTAGCTACTCTAATTGACTTAGAGACTGATTAGCCCAAAGCCATTTTACCCAACTCAGACCCCAAATCAGGCCTGAAAAGAATGGAAATTCGAAAGGAGGCAAGTACGACGTGGGTTTGCTTTTTCCACCCCCAAATACAAAACATCTATCTTCAATTCTCAGAAGAGTTTTATAGAAAAAGGAACCAACAAGCCCCTAAGGTGAAAAAGCGCACGGAAATTAGAATCAGACTATGAAAGGAAAAAGTAGTTGTGAGAGTCTTTTTACTTAAAATTAGCATGCGCAAAACACCGGTAAAATGCCAGCAAAAATGGCATTAAAATGGTAAGTTAATGTATATATGCTTTGAACGCTATTTTCTTATCAAAATCTGATTAGCTTTTTTTCAGAAGATTTCTCTATTTTCATCTCCTGAACAAAAGATTTGTTCCTCTTTTCCCGATTCTGTTCAGATTTTGTTCTTTGTCTATGACTCATTTTTTTTCAGCCCAAAATTTCCTGCGGGAAAAGATATGAAAAGAGGGTTTGTTGATATAATTTTTGCAATCTTAGATGCAACATGGTTAATGGTTAGATTTTGACGTGGAATTCGAAATTGCCTACCCTTTGTAGTGTTAATTTGGGTCTATATCCCTGCGGGTTTGAAAGTGATTCATGTTTCAAGATACCACGAGAGCGTGATAAGATACTCTTACCGTCTTTGAAAGTCCCAAAGGACTTTTTTAAGCTGAAATTTTAAGGGCATGAAGAATTTAGTACCATAAAGATGACTCATTACTTCAATGGTCCCTGATTTTGGGATAATAATTGAGATATTAGGTTAAACTGTTGGTGTAAGGCAATTTCATTTCAGGTTGTTTCCTTTGAAGAGAAATTTGCCAACTTTATATTCGTTTTCTGCCATTTTCAAATTAATTTTATAAGACTTTAGCCAAAAACTGAAATTTTTTATACATGCAGATTGTTGGTTCCATTTAGACTGAGAAAAAATCTAAGAAAACAGATAATTTAAAACTGCGAAAACAGATTTTTGCTTAAACTGATGGAAAATTTTCTAACATGCAATATATTCAAAGTTTTTAACTAGCAACCCAAAGTTAGAGCTAATTCAAGGACTAAATGGTCCTCAAACTGATTTTTGTTTTCCTAAACTAATTTAGCCGATTGAAATGTCAAGCTAGGTTGATTTTAATCTAAACACTTTTCCCAAATGTCACTTTGAGGAATGGCCTGTAAGGCAAAGTATTGTTTCTTTTAGCCCCCTGAAGTTCGTTTAAGAAGATTGATTTGCGATCAGTTTTGAGCGACGTTTATGACGATTTTGATCAAAAGTCACTTAATGTGGCAAATATGGTGAATTCGACTAAAGTGACAGCTTTTGCGAATTAATTATTTGTACTAAATTTAGCATATCACTGGTTTTATTAATCACCAACACAGGTTTCATTTCGTTAAGTTTTGAAAATGCTTTTGCAACCTATACCGTGTAGTATGTAGAAAAAAAACAAACCAGAAGTTACAGCTGCTGCTCAAATAGCACAGAAAGTTCCTACCACAGTTCTCTCTGAGGCAGCAAATCTTGATTTTTTTCAATTTGTGGTTTTCCAGATTAGAGACTTCTTTTATGCGCCGTTTTAAGCGAATAAACTTGAAGTTTTTGAAATTTCTGTACAAAGTTATCTGTACAAAATTAATAACAAAAGAAAAAACTCATTTTTCTTTCGATTTTCAGAGAATATTCATTTTTAAGGCTTGGGAAGCGTTAAACTAAGCTTCAAAAACTAGAACTAGTTTGCCATAGCTTAAATCTAAATATAAACATCTAAGGATCTAAGTAATATGCCATAGCTGAAATCTAAATATGAAAATCTAAATACAAAATCGAAATATCTAAACCTACAAGTTCCTTAAAGGTCCTTTCTTTGTACTATTTTGAGATATCCATATTTGATGACGGACCCTAAAAATTTTCTGAGGGCGCCTTCGGCGCCAACATATTCTAATTTTGAGGAAGAGCGCGCGCCAAAAATTTTTTGGTCAAAATTTTACAAAAAGTGCCTAAAAACGCCTCTTTTTTGGCCTGATTTCAAAATTTTGTTTGCGACGCAGCAATTTTTTCCAAAAACAGGGTCTTTTTAGTGCTTTGGGAGTGCTCGGAAAATCAGTTTGGTCGACCTAAAAAAAAGGTCGACAAAGTTTTTGGAATTTTTTTGAAAATTCCCCCCCCCCCCCCCCTCGAGAAAATCCTAGATCCACCCCTGCTTCAACTCATCTCCCCCGAAACCTTTTTCCTCCTTTCAGCCAATCAAATTCATTTCCTCCCTCGCTTAACCATCCCTAAACTTTGAAATTTTACAGCATCTCCACTTGAGGGAGGTCGTTAACGTGGGGGGAGGGGGAGGATGGGTAAACTGAAGGTGGGACAAAAGTGGTCGGGCGTTATGTTCGGGGTTCGGGGTAACAGGGCCAAAAGGGCCAAATATAGGAGGGGGAACAATGATGAAAGGAGGGACGAGGGATCAATGGATAAGGGAAGGTGTAAAACGAAGGCCAACAAAACTTGAAAAACCCACAAAGTGTGAAAGTAAACATTGTGAGGGGAAAAATTGAAATGTAATATTTTTCTCAGTAAGTGTCCCTTTTCCACTATTCTACTAAAACTTTTGTTAAGCGACAAGCTATAGTGAAATTGTGGAAACACTGCAGTGTGTTTCAAAATTTTTGACAAGTTTTTATACAAAGTTTGAATTCAATTAATTTTGATGTTTGCGGAGACTGACCATGAGAACGCAATTGATTATTATCCTAGAAACTCCAGGGCGGTCATGCTTTTCGTCCGATTTCTTAGCAGACTGAATTTTTAGCAGACTCATACAGGGGCGGACTTAGAGAAGAGTACAAAGGCCCACCCTACCCCCCCCCCCCCCTCCAGGGATTCGGCCCCATGCCGACCCAAATGGTCCCCCTTTGTACTACTTTGAGATATTTATTTTGGCAAGAAGCTATCTTCTTCTTAATTGATCGTAAAACTTTCAGAAAAGTAAGTGCATGTGATGAAAAAATTGAATTATGTCAATAGTTTGATGCAGAAACTTTTCATTTCCTAAAGTAGCAGGAGAGAACTCAGTACCGTTTTTGAAAATTTGCCAAAACAACAGCAAAACTTTGAGTCGTACAAAATTGATACGACCACCAATTAGCTAGTTTCAATTCAATTTGGAACAATTTTTTGTTGTGCGGGATAATTCGCCTCGCATAAACATTTCGCGTTACGCTCTCAGCATTATGAACAGACTCTTCAAAGCGCGAATAATTTAGTCCAAAACATGAACATGGCCAATTCAGTAATTTTCAAACCCCCAGAACTTTACAACAAATGATCGGAGCTGAAATATTTTTTTTTATTTGAACTCAGGAAGTTGATATCTTCAATGGGGTATAAAAAATTTTTGTTGAAAACTATTATTTTGATCGGCGAAAATTGACTGAATAAAAAAACCAGGCCGAGCATAAAAATTCCGTTTTCTTCGAAAGTCTAAACAATAAGCCCTCCGATAAGTAAGTTTTGTCAAAAATCAACAGACCATCTAAACCAGCCGAGAATAAGATCAGAGATCATATACGCCAGCTGAAGCTTACCCTACATGAAAAGATATTTGCATGGTTTCGTAGTTTTTCATATCATACAAGTGTTCATTCGGACGAAAACTCATTCAGCCTAAGTTTTCAAAAAAAAAATTAAAAAGATTTAATATTACTGAAAAATTTTTGTATTTTGCGAAAAGCACGCAATTCAAATTCATAATTTTTAGATCCAAACTTTACAGCAGCGATTTATTCAGCTGCAACTTTTACATTGGGATGCTAATCGACTCAAATGCTGGGTTTTTTCTAAAAAGATCTATATAAAGCGATGTTTAAATTTAAAACTAGTGACCTAGTCCAATCCTTAGAGTAACGTTTTCGAAACCAGAGGCATTTTAGTCTCAAGTAGATTTTTGGAGCACCTGGTCTCATAATCGTATTATTTGCACAATTTTTCTACATACCTAAAATCTAACAACACTTAACATAATTGTTAGGACGAAGAAATATGCTATCACTTTTTTTTTGGTTTTTGACCGACCAATATATATATATATATATATATATATATATATATATATATATATATATCCATTTTTTGAAATCCCAGCGTTTGGGAAATTACTTACTTCACCAAATTCATTTCTTGCTTAAGTTTGGCACAAACTATTAGTTTTTTGCTTGTCACATTTTTGGCCTAAAATACACCTACCGGTGGTAGGCCAACAAGCCGATGGGCCAACAAACC